ATACAACGGAATACTACTGTGTAATGAAACAGAAAAGTACTGATACATTCCACAACATGGATGAACCTTGAAAACATTATGCTAATCAAATGAACTCACATATCGTATAATTACGTTTGTATGAAATATCCAGAATGAGCAAACCTGCAGAAACAAGAAGTATATTAATCCTTGCCAGTGTCTGAGGGGAGACAGAAACAGGGAGTGACTGCTGTAGGTATGGAGTTTCCTTTTAAGTTAATGAAAATGTTCTAATATTAGACAGTGGCAATGGCTATAGTTGCACAATACCTGAATATACCTAAAACTTATTGAAATATACACTTTAAAAGAGTATTTTGAAGTATGTGAACTATATCTCAATAAAGCTCTCATTAAAATGAGATGTATAATTCCTAATCTGAATAGGAGAAATGCATTCACAACTATATTATAGTTGTATCACAAATTATTTTAGATTTCTTCCACTACAGAGGATGTTTTTCAGTTTTCTTATTAGTCATTAGACAAGTATGCCTACTGATAGCCAAGTAAACATATTTAAAAGAAGAAAACATGCACAAAGACCCCCAATGGCATTTTTGACGGGACTTGTGGGGCAAAAAACAATTTCTAGTCATAATATATTTTACAGCTGTTACTATTTCTCACTGTATTTTTCAACTTAAAAATGTACCCAGCATGTCACGAAATGCTAACGACAGCCATGGACTCTGCAGTCTGTCTGGAATACTGCAGCCCAAATCCGTCCCTCATGTGATCCAACACGCAGAACCTCATGACATAACTGGCTGTGATAAAGGGGAAAAGGAAACAGGAGGGGCAGGGGGAGGGCACATCAGTCCATTCCTCTACCCTTAGCAATATTGCTCCTTTAGCTCCAGGACTGACCATACCCAGCAACCTTCTATCTTTATCCAACCTTCCAACCCCTTCTACTCCCCCTAGAGAAACTAAGATCCTGTCTTCATGACTCATCCACTGGACCAAGCACATCATTCTTCATACAGATGAGATTCAGGAAGTCTTAGGTGTTGAATGGGCTAGCTGATATGGGACTTCATGCTTTAAAAATGTTATAAAAAATTGTGATAGGGGCTCCTGGGTGGCTCAGTCAGTTGAGCGTCAGATTTCGGCTCAGGTCATGATCTCACGGTTTGTGGGTTCGAGCCCCGCGTCGGGCTCTGTGCTGACAGCTCAGAGCCTGGAGACTGTCTTCATATTCTGTATCTCCCTCTCTCTCTGACCTTCCCCTGCTCACACTGTCTCTATCTCTCTCTCATAAATAAATAAAACATTTAAAAAATTACTTAAAAAATTGTGATAGCTTTTTTGAAAAAGGAAACCAATCTTCAAACATTAAAATGTAAAATATCAGTTCTCAGTCATGGTGTCTGAATCATTCATATTCCATGATCAGCTGTGTGATGTTACTCAAGTAACTGGTTACTAATACTAAAGTAATATTTGTCAATAATTGAGTTTTTTTAAGTTTTATTAAATAATCTCTACACCCTACATGGGAGTCAAACTCAGCCCCCAGATTGTGTCACACGTTCCTCTGACAGAGCCAGCCAGGTGCCAAGACATTTTTATATAATTAGAATATATTCCAGGTTATTGTTCTAATAATGTCCTTCTTATATTAATTCTACTATTATTTCTTAAATAGAGAAAGGAGTAAATGACAACTAGTGGGCAGAGACAATTATTCAGAGAAGTGTAATAGATGTGAGGATATTATCTATGGTGACTTAGACAGAGTTTGATTCTTTCCAGAAATCCCTCTGTACCCTCTTGTTAGCCCCATAGCATCAGAGATGAAGGATCACTGTGTGATATGACTAAACCCTACAATATCAATCAAATAAACTGGTTTAGATGTTTTGCCCTATAGATACATACTATAAGTCTACATATTTTGTTTTATTGAACTAGGACTTCTAATCCAATTGGGGGTCAGTCCCAAAGTGAACACAGGTAATTAATTTAAAGAGAGTCTTAGAATCAAGGCTATTATCTCCTCCTTCCTTTTCAAACGAAGTAGCCAAAAGAAACCCAAAAAACAAACAAACACAATAAAGAAAAAATAATGCATGAGAGCATCTAAAATAACCATAGTTTTCCCATTTTATTCCTTTAGATGGTGATACGGAAGAGTAAGAGCAGCCTTTAGGAGATTATAAAGTAAAAACCATGGGCAACTATGGGCAAATACAGCAGCCTCCACCTTACATGGAGGGACACGTTCCAAGGCCTCCAGTGGATGCCTGACCACGTGGGCCCGACCCAACCCTCCGAGGTGGCTCTTCCAACTACCGAGCGGCTCACCATGGACAACGGGAATCAGCCACGCAGGGTATCTTAAAACTCCTGCCCCGACCATATGGAGACAACAGCCACAGAAGTTAATCAGAGCGTTTCTCATCTCCTATCAGTGAATTTTTAAAAAGCCGAAAGTCCTATTCATTATATTTTTTTTCTTTCATGTCTTATCTTCTGCTTTTCATCTAATACCTTTCTACACAGGGAAATGATGACAGAAAACCACACTGAAACCTATAAAGGAACCTATACTATAGTGGTAATTAAATATACCATATATTTGGAGGCAGCAACTCTGACTTCTAAGCTACCAACATGGCCTACTTATCTGAAAGAAGTTTTAAGTGTGACAATCCTTAACTACCCAAAACCAAGATGCCTGACCAGCCAGCCTGATGTAGGAAGCAGGTATGTTTAAAAATATCTTGTTCAATCATTACATCCTATGCTGCAGATCTTGTCATTTTGATTACAAATCATCTCAACAACAGCTACTTGAAAGCCATGAAATGAACTGGTGAAGATATGAAATACTTTGGGTTTTTTTTTATTTCAAAATCACAAGTTTAAAAACACAAAATATATAATCTATTATTTTTGTATTGATCCTACTTCCTAGCTATTTTTTCCTGTTTTTAAACTGCTTCTCCAATGGCTCTCTTGGGTGAAAGATTCTATCAGCCTACAGATCGGGTAAGTGCACACACACCCAAGACTTAGCAATAAACTAAAATGCCCAGCATACATTTCATAAGTATATTAAATACACTTAGTGTTTGCCCTTCAAAGTTAAAAAATTCAAACCACAATTTAGTTTAAGTAGTATATCACTATTCAGCAGCTCAAACTATGGCTATTTTGCCATAATCTTACATGGAAATTAGGAAATAAATATGATGTGTATTACCCAAAAATTACTTTTACACAATCTTTTGAAGTTCCTTATACCTAAATTGCCATACTTATTAGCAGTACCAACTTCTACCATTTTCCTTAATTTTCTTATAATCCTAAAGTGGAGATGAGAATAGCTCCTAATGAGGGTCGCCTAGGGGGCTCAGTCGATTGAGCATCCAACTCTTGATTTTGGTTCAGGTCATGATCCCAGGGTTGTGGAATCGAGCCCCACATCAAGCTCCATACTGAGTGTAGAGCCTCTGCTTAAGATTCTCTCTCCGTCTGTCTGTCTGTCTGTCTCCCTCTCATCCCCCACTCTGCCCCTCTCCTTTGCTCATGCTCACTCTCTCTCTCTTTCAAATAAAAAAAAAAAAAGAATAGCTCATAAAGAAATATATGATAATATTAAAAGGTATTTCTACCAATTATAAATTTAAAAGAAAGAGAGGGTCAAGGATGTGCCTTACATTTAAACTGTTAAAGCATAAGGAAAAGCATAGATAGGCAAAAACCATTACAAAGAGTCACGCAGATAACACCTTCTTCTGTTGGGATAATACAAACAAGAGAGTAAGGTTATGATTCACAGAGTGAGCTCAATGGCTCTAATGTCCCTTCTCAAGGCACTCACAAATCCATGCTATTGGGCACCAGAAAGACTGGATAAGAAAGTGTGCACGTATCCGTGCTAATCTATATGACACACTGGGGTAGCATCTTCATATGCAAAGCGTGTACATTTTAATTTTTTATCCTGAGCTATGCTAATACAACATTCAGGCCCTTTACTTAACTCTGCAGAATTCTGACCTTTTGCACTGTACAACTATTACGTTTACCTGAATTTGCAAAAGGTTTGATTAATTCAATTATGCACTAACCCAGAGAAATGACAGAATTCAGGTTTATGCTGCCAATTTGCTCCCAGCACAGGACATTTACTACTATCACCGCCTAAAATGAACCCATCCCCTTCTTGTATGAATTATGCTTATGATCCTGTAAGTACCACTCTTATAAACTGTGAGTTTATATACTGTGTGTTTATATCTTATAATAAGGATCCCAGCTCTAAATCAAAGAAACTGAACCTGCTGCTTTTAAGGCATTGCTAGATATATTTGGATAAAAGTCTGAATAGCCATTAATAACTTAATTAATACTCACATTTTAACAAAAGTTATCTCACTTAAAATATCAGTTTATAAAGACATGAAACAAAGATATTGTCCCCTAAGACACAATTCAAGTTTTACAACAAAAAGTGGAATAATAAAATTTATTTCTAGAGGTTGTGCTTTTAACAAACTGTTCTTAGTGCATCTCCCCATTAACCATTGATCCACTAACGGTCATTAAGGATTACCAAGACACCTGTCCACTACCAGAGCCAGAACTGCACGTGATCTCAGGACTCTTGCAGAAAAAAATGTGGTCAGGGGCGCCTGGGTGGCTTAGTCGGTTGAGCGTCCGACTTTCACTTAGGTCATGATCTCGCGGTTCGTGGGTTCGAGCCCTGCGTCGGGCTCTGTGCTGACTGCCAGCTCAGAGCCTGGAGCCTGTTTCAGTCTATGACTCCCTCTCTCTCTGACCCTCCCCTGCTCACGCTGTCTCTNTGTGCTGACTGCCAGCTCAGAGCCTGGAGCCTGTTTCAGTCTGTGATTCCCTCTCTCTCTGACCCTCCCCTGCTCACGCTGTCTCTTTCTCTCTCTCTCCTAGAAATAAATAAAACATTTAAAAAAAAAAAAAAAGAAAAGAAAAGAAAAAAATGTGGTCCAAGTTGTTGAAATATCCAAATAGCCTTATATCCAAATAGCCCATGACTTTTTAGTCCTTCCCAGCATGGTGTTTCCCTGGAAGACATCATCATGCAGAGAAGTAAACTGATGTGATGAATACTTAAGTACTACAAAGTTGTTCGGCACTCACCTTGGAAGTGCTGAAGGTCATTCTCACCTTACTTAGAAAACCAACAAAGCTACCGGAGCTAGAGAATTTAAACTGGGAGGTGGCCTCAAATTACATAAGATAACATATGTGTTTGTCTATGTATCAGCAACATGCAACCTTCAATAGTAGCTACATTTCCTGTCTCACATTCTCAGCAAATCATCCACTTCAGGGAGTAGACTGAAGCCACCTAGAGCCTCCCCAATGACATCTCTTTCTCCCATTTACACCTTTTATTTCGGCCATCCTTCATTTTTTTTTTTTTTTAATTTTCAAATGTTTATTTACTTTGAGAGAAAGAGAGAGAGCAAGGGATGGGGCAGAGAGAGAGGGACAGAGAGGAAATCCCAAGCAGCCTCTGTCTGTGCTTGCTGTCAGTGCAGAGTCTGACATGGGGCTCAAGCCCACCAACTGTGAGATCATGACTGGAGCCAAAATCAAGAATCAGGCACTTAACCAACTCAGCTACCCAGGTGCCCTTTCAGCCATCCTTCAAAGCTCAGAGTACACGGTAGCCTTCCTGTTCCAGAGAGTCTAGATGTGCCTTTGATCTACCTCTTCCCAAGCACTGAGACCTAGTGCTCGCTTTGGCAGCACATACACCAAGCACTGAGACCTATTTTGCCAGCCCGCATTCAACCATACTCACCACCATCCCTTAATCCGAGCTTGTTTCCCATATCCAAGTAAGAAAGGACATTTCATTTAACTGCCTTTTATTATGAAAGCCCTCCCTCTTCTTCCTGTCCCCCCCTCCCCCCGCCCCAGCCAGCTCCCCCAGTTACACTTTCCAGCTGTCCGGGGGCAATTCTCAAGCGCGGCACTCCCCGCTGCGGAAACATTCTCTAGTTCGCTAATGTTCACCACATCCAGTCTAACTCCTCTGCCAGGCTTTGGGATCCAAACTATGATTCCTCTAATCCTTGAAAATATGATTTTATTAACATTCCCACAAATCCCCAAACATGTACCTTTCTCTCAGCCTTTGACTTTGACTCACATTACTCCTCCTCCCAAGAATATACTTCTCTCTCCTGCCAACTGAAACATGCATTCAAGAGTCAGCTCAGGTCACACTTCTCTAAAAGATTTCCCTTTCCTCCCCTTACATCCCACAAGGGTCTCCTATAGCCATTCGATTGTTCAGGACTCTCTCACTTCTCGAATTCTCCTTACATTTAGCTTAAGTACTTATGGGCCAAAGACCAAATCCTTACCGGATGCTTTCAATCTCTGCCAGTAACTAACACAGAACTTACCACATGCTATTTAACAAATACTGATAAGTTTATTATATAGGATTGTATATTAGCGATCTTCTCAAAACCTCAGGATCACTTTTGAATTTCTAAATAACAGGTATTTGTCTATAGACTAACTGCATCTTTGGAACAACAAAAACAGCAGTCCTGAGAGAAAGAGATGGGAAGAAAGTGCTGCTTTTCAGAAATAGATTTAAATGACAACTTATCCATGGGATTTCTGCATGCCTTATAACAGCTTCTGTCTCAGACTCTTTTGCAAGGATATGACAACCTTGGAATCCAGGGATAGCGCCTCCGTCCAGGTTAGAAGACAGATTTATTTCCTGACGGGGAAAATAAAGATAATGCCTCCCCACAGGGCAAAGGTCAGGCAGCTTCACTAGGCACTTCTTAAAAGACAGGGGATTGCCTAACCTTGCAGTTCCTCAGCTGTGACACAAAACCCTGTGTGCAAGCATCCACCTGGGTCACTCAGCATTGCCCCTTGGGGATTTGGGGACAAGAGGAATCGATTAGAACATGAAGCTCATGCTGCCTGCTGTGCCCTGAGTGATGAAGTCCTTTATCTCTGACCCAGGAGTCTCCTGGCTTCAGCCAGCATCTATATAACTGGGGCAGGCTAACTTGGTAGCCCGCAAACTGGGTCAATTCCCAAACCCTTTGTAGTTTTGGACAATTTCTGGCTATCTGTTCAATTAGGAGTTTCTAGTTTACAAAAGCAGACAGAAGCTACCACATCACGGTCTACATGTCTAACACGCAATGACATGGATGAATCTCCAAATCAACATGCTGAGTGAAAGAAGCAAACTCAAAAGTGTGAGGACACCATGATATAAGGATGTGAGGTTCTACTGCAGGCTAAGGTCAAGTGGGAGACATCAGAACATGGCTGCTTCTGAAGAAGGTCAGTCACAGATATTAACTAGAACAGGCAAGGACTTTTACGGGGTGATGGGAATATCCTATGTTTTGCTTGGGGTGGTGGTTACAAAGATACAATAGTCAAAAGGCATCAAATACTACAGTTAAGAACTGTGTATTTTAATGCATGGACATTATGCTCAGTAAAAAAAAAAAAAAAAAAAAAAGCATTACAAGTTCTATATATCCAAATGTTGAATATATTGAAGTCTGTTTTAGTTTCAGGATATAATGATTCACAGACACACTAAGACAGTACTGGCCACATTCACACCCATTCTTTGAACATCATCTTTAGAGAGGCAGCTACAATACGTGGATTTAAGAGTCTGCACTCCAGAGTGATACGGCTCGGGTTTGCGTCTGGGTCTTTGCTGCTAGCTAGGTGCTGTCAGGCATCTTCCTAAACCTCTTCATGCCTGGGTTTTCTCCTGTTAAAAATAAATACAGTTTGACCCTTGAACAACAACTGGCTTACAGGCACTGACCCCCTGTGCAGCCAGCGCTCCACATTCAACTTGTGACTCCCCAAAAACGTACCTACCCATAGCCTGCTGATGACTGAAAGCCTTACCAAGAATGTAAGTTGGTTGTTAACAGTTGATTAACACGTATTTCGTATGTTATACTGTTTCCTTATAATAATACCTAACTTATTCTTGATTTTTTTCAGTCTTTCTAAGCTATCCAGTTTGTGTGCCATTTTTTTCCACCTGTCACAAATCTCAAAAGAATTTCCAATGGATTTATTGAAAAAAATCCACATAAAAATGGACCCACACAGTTCAAACCCATATTGTTCAAGGATCAGCTGTATATAAAAAAAAAAGTTCCTACCTGTTGTTATGAGAACTAATTAGGTAATACAGATAAATTGCCTTGTATGTAGAAAGCATTCACTACAGGTTAGTTGTAATTATTTATTTAGAGATCATGATAACACAGGATTCAAAGTAATTCAGCAAAGCAATTCAGGATATTTCTGTGAAAGCAGAAGACCAATGTGCCTTTAAAAAGCTAGTAAGTTTAATGTACATGCAGTGGTGGGGAATATATAAGGTAGAATATTTACTTATCATAACACCATCCGAAAGTCTTTTTATTATATATTCTAATAAAGCAATAGATCCAAATCACAGTGTTTTGCACATTATTGAAAGCACAGAAAGAAAAAATTAAGTCAAATAAATTCCACTTCTGGCAAATGTCTCAAGTCCAGATAGATGTGTCTCATTTGCTTTCTGACAGCTGTAGTGTTAAGCCTTTTTTCCCCTAATGCAATAGAAGTGAAAGTTGAAGATCCAATCGAATCCTAACCTGAACCCTGACTAAAGTGTAAACTGAGGACAAAACTTGTGAAAGACAGGCCAAAAGGAAATGTGTGAAAGGATAAAATCTCGAGTATCATCGTACAAATACAGGGAGAGTGGGACAAAAGCATGAATTCTCAGCGATGGAAAAGCACTTTGGTAAAGGACAAAGTAAAGAATAGAGACCCAACTTCAGGGCTCTGCAGATCAGGCCACTCTCTATCTTTAGTACATACGCCACTGGTTAGTGTCCCCATAAAAAGGCACGTGTGCCACAGAATCACCTCAGCACTGCGTGTTCTTTAAGATTACTCCCAAGCTTTTAAAAGGGATGCATTATTAGGAAAGAGAAAGTAAACAATAAGCAATAATGATGCACGATTTCTATCCTCTTAAAATTCATTTTTAAAATTTTTTGTTACTGCATCATTACAACAGTTCTAACATTTAGTATCTGCTTCATTAAAAGCCTTTCTAATATTTCATATCCACTATTCCAGGTAGGATGTGAGGAATTTTATGTCACCGACTTGGAATAGGAGTTGAAAATTTCAACGTAAAACAAAATATTAGGAAGTTAACGAAAAATGCAAATTCCCGAGAAACAAATCAAATCATTGTAATAGAGGAGGAGCGAGCATATTGGGTGTTTTCAATCTGCCCCGCCAGGAAAATGTTGAGGCAGAATAGTGATTACTGAGTATTTGATTACGGAAGGGACTCAGGCCTCCTGGCAAACGGAATCGTTTCTCTGCTTATGAACACCTGGGATACAGCAGGAACACAACTTAAGGTGAGTTTCTGACTTTGAAAGGGGTGGCTATTTAAAAAAAAACAAAAACCTACAATTATTTTCATCTTTAAGCCTTATTTTCACATTTCTTCTTTTCTTAGGGTCCAACGGTAGCGTGCCATGGGCTTCACGCAGGAAGCGGAAATAGCAATGACAATCCCTCCCCAGCTACACTTCCTCTAAGGGGCAGCGTTACAGAAGACGTTACCACACACCTCAGTGACCCCCTGTGATCCCACAGGCCCCAAGGTGTTATGGGGGAAACGCGTTTTAATTACAACTACATTCACTTCTATCTAAAGAGCAGGTGCGCACACTTACGTACGGAAAGTCCATAAAATTCACGCTTCCTTTTCCTGCCAGACCTGAAGAGTTAAATCTGAAAAGGCGGCATTTAATCGCACTCATTGGCTCCTCCAACTGAACAAAGCATTGTGTACAAAAACATCTACAGTTGACAAAGAACTGTCCATAATCATAAAAAAAACCTTCTTGGCTTTTCTTTATTGTAAAGAACTTTTTTCCATCCCCGAGGACTTCAAGGTTGGAAGTGAAGAAAATGAACTCTTTATCCAAGAGCAACTCTGCTACAACTGCCTATTTATGTTTTGATCTAAAAAGAGAAACTTGCCAGTTTTCTACCTGCTATTCACCGCTGCCACAGGCCTTCAAATATGGACAGTCTGGAGACAGCCAAGTTCTTGCCCCATGTTTCAAGGAAATGGAGGCATTCAATTTGGCCAGTGGTCCGTGGATGGGGATACAGGCGTCGTCCATATCAAAAACCTGAGGTGGAAACATTCTAGACTCCTCCCTCTCCTGCCTTCCCCAATTCAGATTGGCCATTGAGGCTGAGAGACTGCACTTCCTCTCTGGGCCACTGTCACTGCCTTATTTGGGACCTTACAACTTCTACTTCAGTTGCTTCCCTTGGGGTCTTTCTACCTTCAGTCTTGCCCCACTCAACGCTATTTTCCATGCTGTCATCATAGCAACTGTCTACAGAATAAACCTGACCATGTCACATAACACATGATCTGTTCTTGTGTATCAGGACTCACAAAATGGAGGCAACCCCAGCCACCTGGCCCACATCACAAATCCAAACTTAAGACAAGGAAATCTAACATTCACTAACCACAGTCCTCCACCTGTGGGCTTACTTTACCTTAGAAAATAGGACCTGCTAGTCTTGTAAGGGAATCCCTATAACCTCCTAGCCAATCATGTTTGTTTCTGTGTTGCCTCTTCTACTGCTTTTTAAAACTCATACTTGCCCAAAATCCCTCGGGAAGAATGTTCCAACCACTTGTGAGGCACTGTACTCCCCCAGTCGAGGACTGTTTTCCCTTGAAGAAAGGACATCAAACTGATTGCTAAATTGTTTTACTTTTGTAAATTCACAGTTTGGCAATGAGATGGGCCCTGAAGACAGCTGCTAAAGAGTCTGGGGATGGCTTCTAGAAGCAGGTGAAGTTATCCACAGAGCCATTTTATTCACTGCCTCTCTGGCTGCTCTCGTAAGCTTCTCTCTGATCAAGCCCTGATTATTTTGCATTCTGAACTTAATCCTTCCAGGTAGAAAATTGGGGTGTGAGACTCCAAGGTTCTTTTTCAGAGGGTGGAAAACTGGGGTGTGAGAGACTCGAGATTTTCACGGTGAGACTTAGTAGGCCACACATTTTGGTTTGTGGCCAAACTCTTCTACGATTAAGCACCTTTGGAGGGGGGGGGGGGGTTTCTTACAAGTCTCAGGAACAGTGCACAGGCAGTCAGAAACAGCAAGTCTGGTTGAATTGTGATGGCTTATTTCAAGGGAAAATAATGGTTACCCCTCAAAGCAAGATGGCAGCCACTGGGGGGACAGGACTCACAAAACTCAAGGCAAGTCCACAGCACAAACTGCTAGGAAGGTTGGAAAAATAAATTAAGACAAGAAATTCAGACTTTTCTGATGAATGGCACATCAAAAGGTAAGTAGGCACAAGTTAGACTGTTAAAAGCCATTAGACTATCCACCACTATAAAGAAATAACAGATCTAGGGGCACCTGGGTGGCTCAGTCAGTTAACTGTCTGACTTTGGCTCAGGTCATGAACTCACGGTTCATGGGTTCAAACCCCACATCAGATTCTGTGCTGACAGTTCAGAGCCTGGAGCCTGCTTTGGATTCTGTGTCTCCCTCTCTCTTTCTGCTCCTCCCCCACTCACACTCTTTCTCTCTCTCTCTCTTTCAAAAATAAATAAACATTTAAAAAAAAAAAAAGAATGAAATGCCTCCTTCTACTTCCTCTACCTTCCTTTATCTCAGTACTCAGCCTACTAATCCTCTATCTGCACTGCCTTTCCACTGTAAACACACTATAAGACCATAGACAAGAATCTTCCAAATTAATGGCCTATATCCAGAAGCTCCTATATCTACCCCCAAAGGAGGGCCCCCACATGGGCCCCTCTTGGGGTTGACGGGACCCCAAGGGATTCTCCAATAAGTCTCCACCAATATTCCCTTGAACAGCCAAGGGGAAACTAAAATAAAATTAATTCAAAAAAAAAAAGAAATTTTGCCAAATCCTGGTAGATACCCAACTTCACTCTCCACTTTGAACCCCACTCACTCTGGAGCCTTGGAGAAAACTGATCCAGGAAACCTGAGAGAAGCCATCAAAGGGTGGAAGTTCTTACCAGAATCGGCTCTCCTGGATCTCTGTCTGTAGCGCCTGGTCAAGAGAGGAAGGCAAAATTTCATGTTATCCCTGCCTTTTCAAGATGCATTGGTGATTGGTCCTTTCTCTCCCAAGGACAACCATTCCCTCCTAACCTGTCTCATTTTGTGTCCTGAGAACTGGGCTTAACAACCGTCAGATTGAGGGCCCTCAAAATACAGCCAGATAGAAAGAGAGGGGGCACGACATTTGTGGCTAGTGCCCTACAGATTATTGCCAGCTTTCAAGGGAAGGGGGCAGGTCCTTATTTTGGCTATTTCTGGGAGTGGCTCTGGATCTTGGGAGAGCAGTTATCTTTTGTACCTTCTGTGGGAATGCCTCTTGCAGCCAATAGATCCTTCAACACTGCCAGGAATATTTACTGCTTGTCCTGGCTAAAACGTGACAAGATATTTAAAAGGACTTTTTTTTTTTTTTTTAACTAGCTCTGTGGTTAGAAGTTTGCTGATACTAGAGGCTGATATCCAGAACCTCAAAGGAACTTTCTTAGGCCTTCTCTCCTAAGTCAAATGAAACCGTGTACCCAAAAGGAAAGAAAAATATTCCAAAGGCAGATAGCTCTAAATCTCGAATGCAGGAATCTTTTCATTTCCATCTTAGTTGAAGAGCTTCTCCCTGACTTCAAGAAGCAAAACGAAGATAATATATTTGGATGGGTGGTCAGCCAACTATCTTGTCTTCTCTTTGCAATACCCATTCTTTGATGAATTAAAAAGAACCGTCCATATTTTGTAAATTCAGTCTTTACAAGAATAGAAACGCAGCTCTAGAAGCAATTCGAGACCCATCTATCATTTGTATCAATCCCCAAACCTCCCCTGCTAATCTATAAAAGCTTGTACGTATTGTGAAATTTTGGATTTAGGAAACAAGTCCTTGATGGAAGAGCTGGCATTCTTTCCTTGTGCCTTTGCTGGGTAAATGTTCTACCCAGTCTTCTCCCGGAACTGAGGGCCACCTCTTTGCAAAGCTAACTTCAGGGAGGTAATTCTTATCAGGAGGAAGAAAAGAAGGGATGGGTCGCTGTCTGGAAGCTAGGCCAATGAAAAATCTTTAAAAAGCCTCAGGTCATTAACTCATTCCATCCATTTGGATCCATCAATTTGGATTGATTCATCAATTTGGATCTGTTGGTTTATAAACCAGCGAGTTTTGCATTACAGTAGCCTCAAAATCCGTCTTTTTCAATCTCTAAATCGACAGCGAAGTGTTTTGGGGTTTGGGGGGCGTTTTTAGGATTCAAAATGCCTGTGATTCTGCCCAATAGCCCAAAGATAATAGAAGCCAATATAGAGAGACTCCTCCCTCCCCAAAATGTTTAGAGACATCTGGAGAATATAACGGTTCTAACGGACGGCCATCTGTTCGGCACCAACCACACAAGTCTATAAAATGCATGAAGAGCTCTTGGCGGTGTCACCAGTAAAATACGTGTTTCTTCTTCCAAGGCTCCGAGCTGCTGTGCGTCTACAGTCCACACCCGGTTCTCGGGACCGTTGCCTTCCCACTCGGGAAGGAGTCGCCACACCTCCAAGAGGTGCTCGGGGCAGGGGCCCTCCCTCTCTGATAGTCCCTGATTTTAGAATACAGTTTAAATATACTCAACAGGGAAGAGGGGAGAGTTCAGCGTTTTGGAGCCCGGGTCGGGTGGAGCATTACGGAATCCTAGAACGTGAGCGCTGACCTGCGATTACTCTAACATGGCAGCCGAGGAAACCGAGGCCCAGGGACCTTCAGGGGCCAGCTCGGGTCCGTGCAGTAGCTAGTGGGGAGGCTGAGAGCCCGGCTCCGCTCATCTTCTCCCGGTCCGGAGCCGGGCGCGACCCCAGTCCCTTTGCCTCTGGGCCCGGCCGTGCGTGGAAGGGCCGCGGGCGCAGGCGGCCACCTGTGGGCCCGGAACTCCCTCCTTCGCAGCCCTGCGGCCCGCGCTCGGGGGCGCCGCTGCGTGGACGCCGGCAGCGTGGACCGCAAACGTGCCGCCTCAGGGGCCTGGCCCTGCGCGCGCGCAGCAGGCCTCCCAGGTTTCCATAGCAACAGATGCCCTGGCCGTCGGGCCCCAGAGACGCCCCCCAGGGTCAGAGGTCATCTCTGTGACAACGGAAGCTTCCCGCGCTACGGCGGCTCGGACGGGCCGCTTCCGCCGCATTGCGCTGCGGAGCGCGGGGCGCTCGTAGGAACGCGAGCGCGTGCTGGCCGGTCGCGAAGGCTCGGGCCGCGGGTCGCACCGAAGGAGGCGCGTGTCTGGCGCGCGAGCCCCGTCTCTTCGGGCTCGGTTAGGCAGACTCAGAAGCGACTTGGGCCGGGTCACCGAGGGGCCCGACTCCTGGAAGCAGATCGGAGCCGCAGGGTGGCCGGCGCCGGCCTGCGGGGAAGAGGGGCCCGCCTCTGCGGTCGGCCAGACCTGGTCCCCCGACACACCCGGCGCCTCGCAGCCCGCGGCCACCGCGACCCAGCGCCTTCCGCCTTTGACAGTAGCTCCAGAAAGAAGCTAACTAGACCCGCGTGGTTATGGGGTGTGCAGGGAGCTAGCGGGCTTGAAGATGTTTGCTTTAGAGCTGAAAAGAATATAATATTAAGGGGGGGGGGGCACCTCCTTTCCAAGCAACTGAACTAGAGACTGTTTCGGTGCTGTCCCCTCAAGAGCAAACCAGGGAGGGTCCCAGTTACCATCTTCAGATAAAGAAGTTCGATCAAGAAAGGAGGGACAATTTTTGCGGAAAGTCTTTCTTTTTAAAGAGAAGCAGATTTTAGATTAGAAAAGAAGATGAACGGGGCTCTTGCAGAGGGCACCTGATGGTACCCTAACATTCACTCTTTAAAGGCTGACAGTGCCAGAAGGGGAGACTGCGATGGGCTCCTGAGCTCCTATTGTTGAGTAAGACCTCAAGTTTTGAGATTTAGGATGAGGGTATTCTAAAATGGGGGTGGGGGTGGGAGGGAGGGGGGAAGGGGGTAACGGGCATGGAGGAGGGCATTTGTTGGGATGAGCACTGGGGGTTATATGAAAACCAACTTGATAATAAAGTATAAAAAAGATTAAATACTAAAAAATAAAATGTGGGCCTAGGGAAGGGTTGCACACCGTGTTTCAGGATGCCTTATCATGGCGAGATGAAGACCTAAGTGGTCCACTAATGACTTTTTCCTTCTCTTTGTTTTATCATTAAGAAACCAAAGTCTTGGTTGGCACTGCTGGAAAGGAGGAAGCATTAAGTGAACTTAACCAGGCGTCATTTATGACACCCGCGGTTACAGTCCCACAGTTAACTTTCTCAGAGAATCCTATTTTCACTATTAATTCATTGAATAAAAATGCATTGAAAACCTGCTCCGTGTCATAACTAGAGTTTTTGTCAGGGAACAGTCATAAAGGCAGTAGTGCGCAACAATTGTTGGGTGACTTTCTTAGATTGTTAGTAGATTGAACAAAACTTCAGTTTCCCTGCCAAACATGTCTGCACCATGCCTTCCTTTGCCTTCAGGTTTAAGGTAGGACCTAAGAATTCCTTCTTTCAGCCTAAGTGTCCATCAACAGATGAATGGATCAAGATGTGGTTTATCTATACCATGGAATACTACATGGCAATGAGAAACAATGAAATCTGGCCTGTGTAGCAACATGGATGGACCTTGAGGGTGTTATGCTGAGCGAAATAAGTCAGGCAGAGAAGGACAAATATCATATGTTTGCACGTATAGGAGGATTAGGAGGAACTTGACGGAGGAACAAGGGGGAGAAGAAGGGCAGAAATGGTGGGGGAAAGGGAGAGAGGCAAACCATGAGAGACTCTTGAATGCTGACAAAAACTGAGGACTGATGGATGGGGGGGGCGAGGGGGGGATGGGCATGGAGGAGGGCACTCGTGGGGATGAGCACTGGGTGTTATGTGGAAACTAATTTGACAATAAACTATTTGTAAAAAAAAAAAAAGGAACCTCAAAAAAAAAAAAGAATTCCTTCTTTCAACTTCCCTTTGTCACCCTACCTTTTTCATTCTGCACAAAGCAGAAAGTCAGTTTGTAGCAACTAGAGAAAAACACAGAGGAAACACCAGGAAATACTTGGTCCTTAAAAAGCAGAAGAGCAGAAACGTTAGTGCATCTCAGGAGGCATGTGGAGGAACTGAGAAGTCTCCCTCAGAAAATCCCCTGCCCTTCAATGCTCAGGTGCATCTCTTACAACGAAATCTGGGATGTGGTACACAAAATGAAACCCTAAACAACACACACTATGGCACTGGGCAGGAAGAAGTGTCTGTTGTGTTTCCCTGGCCCACAGTCCCTCATGGAGATGCTCCTAAGGTGACACTCAAAGGTGACACTGTATTTATTTCGAATACAGACACCGCAATGCAATGTCTGGTTTAAAACTTAATAGAGGGGGAAAAAACTTAATAGAGGAGCTTCAGCTATACTGTTAAATCCCAACTGTCTCGCCTTAAGGCATAAAAAAACTATTTTGAATAAATGCTTCCATTTTGAGACACCTACATGGTATTTATAGGAAGATTATGAGTCAATTGAGTGAGTTATGGTGCCAAAATGTACAAAGGAGCGAAAATTTTGGTTGTTTTCCTTGTTGCCACATGTATATATATTTAAAAAAAAAAAAAAAAGACAGAAAAGTCCCCAGTGTTTGTGCTGCTAAAACATGGAAGACCGGGTCTGAACGTTGTTAAAGAAATGGTTTCGTGTGGGAAATGTTAAATATAGTATAGAATTACCTTGGCACCTTCTGAAAGCAATGCATTATTTGAACAACTATTCTCAGTTTTAGATGCTGTGGAGGATGGGACCAGGCTGAATTGGAGTGCAGCCAAAGTCATCCTCATGGTTACAACCGAGTTTAGATGATCATGCATTGGATTTCACACTTGTTAGCTTGGGTTTAATTTCCAAAAAGAAAAATCCACTCTCTCAGAAAGTCAATACTTGGAAGCCTGTCTAAACTGCTGTCTTTTGGTTCCTGAAGGGCCCCTGCTCTGCAAACTCATTTTGTCTACTTCAGTAACTAAAGCTTCTTGGATGGAGTCCAAGGCCAACTCCGATTACACTAGGCAGAATCCCACTCTAAGGCCAAGCATGTCAGAAGGAGAAGAGCCTCACACCTGTTCGGTGTTGCAGCCATGCAGTCTGAATTTGATGTCTCCCTTTGGTACACGCTCAGTGCTTAGAAATGCAGAGGTTGTGGCCCGTCTGTGGCTCACCCACCTCTGCGGGAACTCAGGATGAGTCTGCAGGCTGAGAAGGGGAAGGAGTAAAAACCGCTTACTCTCTTTTTTTCTCCCAGCTCTCCCTATTTTCCCCACTTCTAAATGCCATGACAGCCCTCCGTGTAAAGCAAGTCGTTTTAAAAGAATAACATATATTTAAATGAGTAACAGAGGCGTACCAGATGTTTTTGGCACCTAAAACAGCTTTAGCGAAAGGCAAAAGCAGAGCTGAAAGACACCAGAACAAGTAGGAAATAGCAAGTGACAAGGAGTTCTACCAAGCCCTGCCTGTATCATCTCCAAGGTACATGGCAGAGAGACCGTATTCAGAAAAGGAGACGCTCGGGGGGCATGGGTTTGTGAGATCTTCTAAATGTGCTCTGCGGAACTAGGTCCAGGGACGTCTGCTTCATACCCTCCCGGCCACTGTCACTGGTACTCAATAAAATTAATCTTTGATGACAACTTATCTTAAATTCTATGCTTTCCAAAAACCCTATCAGGCCATGGAAGTTTGGGCATCTCATGAGTGTGGTTCAATAAGTGTATCTGTTTAAGGGTCCGGGCTTCCTTTGTTTGTGGTACATTATGTGTCTGATAAGATAGCCATGACATGACCTTAGTATTTACCTTCGTTGTGGGTTTTGTTCTTTTTTCCAACCGCAATCCTTAGCAGCTGTCACTCAAAGTCTAGTGACCTAGATTAGTACCAAACTGGCCTGTGATACGCATTGGTCAGTCCAAGCTATCATTGCTGCTTTAAAGAAACCTATCAAGCCCTCCTCCAGGCTAAGTGCCTTGGACTTAGAATTCCCTCTCTCATGAGTTGCCTAAAATACAATCACCTTGCATGACTCATACAGTGAAAGTTGAAGCAGGTAACATTTATTCTAAACATACAGCCATTGCTAAACTGGGAGAATAGGGGAAAGTAGGACATTTAATCGTGTGTGCGTGTGTGTGTGTGTGTGTGTGTGTTCTCTGCTAATAGTTGTATTGTGAGACACTAGACATTTCTATGAAGACAATAGACTTACTTTATATGCAGGATTTCCAAGCTATGGCAATTTATTTTAAAAAGCATATATATATATATATATATATATATATATATATATATATTGTGTAAGTATAGTCTTCCTATTCTTTTCCAGTGAAATCTTACATAAAAGCAACTACCAAGAAAAAAAAAAAACCTTTTAAATTAACACCTCTTATTTAAATGCTAATAACTTTGGGGGTAGATAAATAACTTTGTCCTTCAGTGCATTACTCTATTATCCACTTATTTTCACATCAACGTGAGTATATAGCAGTGCTTTAAAAGTCCTCCCAGGAGCCTTGACCAAACTACCTACCAATTTAAAAATTGGGAATAATCAGTCATTTGTTCTGTAATTCACAAAGATTGGGAAGAATTACTAATCTAAGAAGTCTTCCAACTGAATTCCTGATCCAAGTACCGGTACTTGGAAGTATTCTTCTAAACTTCTTAGTTTGAAGCCAGTTAATTGTCCTCATTTTAGATTTAAGATAACATAATAGGTAGTAGTCAATCTGTTCTTTTTGGTTTTAACAGTTAAGAGGACTTTAGTCTTTGTTTTATTTTAATTACACAATTAACTTCTTGGTTATACTGCTATCTTGGGATCGAAAACCTGCAAACGATTTTAGGCTTCATGTTAACAGCAGAAAGAGAATGCAATCTACCAATT